AGCCAAAGACTCCATTGAGTATTATCCTCTCTTTTCTTTGACACCTTCCTACTAAAAACTAACCTTCTGTTAAGAGCAGCAAGCTTGTGTGCCTTTAGAGACCAAGAAGGTACGATTAATGAAAAAGCAGGTGAGGTGAAAGAAAAAAGTTGATAGAAGCACAAATATAATACATGATATTGTTTGCTTTCCTCTTAACTTACTTTGAGCATAGCAACTGTACAAGCACAGTGGCAAATGACCGCTGAAAACAGCCTTGCAGCAGGGGAGGCAAAAGGGAGTGGTGAGCACTGTGGAAAACTCTGTGGGAGAGTGCATCCCAGCCCAAAGTGACCGTGCTGCTCAGCCCTTCCTGTAGGTTCTGGGTTGCTAAACTTCTGCTTTGCCAAGAGGACCTGCTAATCCAGATTTTAATGGGAAATCTCCTGATTAAAAATATTGTTTTTAAAATTGTGGTTAAAAACACATAACATAAAAATGACCATCTTAACCACCATTTTTAAGTGTTCAGTTCAGTAGCACTGAGTAAATTCCCACTATTATGCAACCAATCTCCAGAACTTTTTCATCTTGCAAAACGGAAACTCTATACCCATTAAGCAATACCTTCCCATTGCCCCCGCCCCCTAACCGCTGGCAACCACCATTCTACTTTCTGTTTCTATGAATTTGACGGCTTTAGATACCTCATGTAAGTGGGATTGTACTGAACCTGTCTTTTAGTGTCTGGCTTATTTCACTTAGCATAATGTCCTCAAGGTTCATCCATGTTGTAGCATGTGTCAGAATTTCCTTCCTTTTTCGGATGGAGTAATATCCCATTATATGTATACACCACATTTTGTTTATCTATTTACCCGTTGATGGATACCTGGGTTGCTTTCACCTATTGTGACTAGCGCCACTGGAAACATGGTTGTACAGATATCTGTGTGAGTTCCTGTTTTCAATTCTTACTGAATTGCAGAATCATACGGTAATTCTGTGTTTAGCTTTTTGAGGAATCGCTATGCTATTTTACACTGGTTTACATTCCCACCAACAGTGCACAAGAGTTTCTATTTCTCCACACTCTTGCTCCTAATTATTTAATGTTTGCAACTCATTCAAGCCTTTTTCAAAATACCATGCACAGTTCAGGCCAAGCAAACACTGGCCAGAACCTGGAACTGTCCTATACACAGAGAAAGATATCCACAAGCCTCTGGCAGAATTCATGCTACTTTATCCCCATCAGCAAGAAGTGGTTCTCGATGACATAACAAGGATGATGCTTACGCACATCACTCAGCCCTAAGCAGGAGCAACTCTCACCACCTGCTCTTCAGGGCAGGGAAAGGATAGCCTGGCATCAGAATCTGACACTTTTTTTTTTTTTTCCTTTCAAACAGCATTTGATAGTAACAGGAAATAAATCAAAGGAAAATAAAAGATTTTGTGTTTCTGAGTGAGTCTGGTTCATGGATACCCAGGATTTCTGGTCAAGTTCATGTGAGAAAAATGGTCTTTCCTTTAAGCAAAGGTATATCATTCCCTTCAGCTAGTCTCCTGTGGATCTTGACTGAACTGGGTCTCCCAGTTGAGATGGAAAATTCTGCCTTTCTGTTCCATCTCCTGGTTTTACTTTATGACTAAAACTCACATTTCTCAACGTATCTGAAGCCCCCTGCTGATAGAGCAGTGTTAAATGATGGTTGTAAGTTTGTTCATTTGTTACCTGAGGAAAGTGTGTAAAGTTTAGAAATAATATTGGACCAACAATCCTTTCTTCCCCTTGGCACACATCTCAGAATAGACTGCAATGCAGGGCGAACTCAAAAGCAGGTAGAGGAGATCAGTGCTTATCATTCTCTGTCCTTTGTTCAGCTTCAATGAGACATCATTATTCCCAAGAAACAGCACTTCCTGTGATGAAGGAGAGCCAGCATTTGGAAAACTATTTAAAGGAATACATATATACAGTTCTCTTGGGGAAGGCTGTAGGGAAAATGTCTGCTTATGATTGAATGGGCTGTGCTTAAAGAAAGATTTCTAAATTTTTAACTCATTCTTCCTTTATGAGAGAGCCATATATAAAGTTGGGCCACGTGGAGGCACACTGGACTGGGTGATGAGTGACCATGATTACAGCATGCCAAAGGAACTAAAACTTATACATGATGGAAAGATGAGCATCACAAATACTATTGTCTTTCTTTACTGGGGCATCTTGGCTGTTGTATATCGTTCCTCACAAACAGTCCCCAGGTGTTTCTGTGTGGCAGAGGAGCCTCTTTGCTAATATGAGAAGAAAAGGAAGGAAGGAAGGGAGGGAAGGAAGGGAGGGAGGGAGGAAGGAGGGGAGGGAGGGAGGGAAGGGGGGAAGGGAGGGAAGGAGGGAGGGAGGGAGGGAGGGAGGAAGGAAGGAAGGGAGGAAGGGAGGAAAAGGAAAGGAGGGAGGGAGGAAACGGACATTTACGAAGCAGTTAATAATAACTGAGTCGTGTGCAAAGTGCTTTAGGTGCGTTACTTTATTTATTCAGCCCTACAACAACCTTGTGAGATAGGGTGTCACCTCTATTTCACAAAAGAGAAAACTAAGGCTCAGAGACGTTAAGTGACTTGCCCGAGTCATACAGCTAATAAGTTGTTAAACTGGAATTCAAAACCAGGCTAAGCCTCTTTGCATAAAACTTCCTTGCTGAGATGGTTCGCGGCGGGGTGGTCGTCAAGTTCACATAAGTAAAACCAGGGAGATGGTATAATCACCTATAGATACTCAGGATAATCTCCGCTCTTAGCCCCCTGCTCTGGCAGCAGCCTTTCTTCTCTGAAAGATAGCATTGGTCCATATTGTTTGGAATCTAATAACTGACTGAAAACATGAGAGTGTAAAAGTAGCGAACCCAAACTATTTAATAGCAAGTTTTGAAGGCTGTAGGGTATTAACAGCTAAAACATTGAAAATGGAAGATAGATTTTAATTTCAAGTATAAAAAAAAAGCACTAAAATATATACAGATTCCAAAAGCAGCCGCAAATGGCTTGCAAGCCACCAGCAGTGTCACAAAGATTCCGTCCCTCTGCAGAAAATACCTCACCCAACTCTAGTTTCACCCTTCAGATATTTCAGAACAACTGTCATGGAAGTTTCCTCTAGATTAGAAATTGCCTTCAAGGAAAAGAGGCTACAAAATGAAGCCTGATGGTCTGTTCATCTAGGCAGAATTCACTCTTCACTCATACAGAATGGCCAGAGAAAAGTACTTTACACATTAATGATATGCCTAGATCACTTGGGTTTTTTCAGGATTCGCGAGAGTAAGGTGACTATGACGGGGAAGAGAAGAGTTCAGCACGAGCGCATAGGCACCGGCATCTGTCAGGACGATGTTTATTCCATGTCAACTTCAAGGACATTGAAGTGGCTAACCCATTACCAACAGAATCTAGTAACAGCCTTTTAAAAAAAGCCCAATCGGGCTTCCCTGGTGGCGCAGTGGTTGAGAATCTGCCTGCTAATGCAGGGGACACAGGTTTGAGCCCTGGTCCGGGAAGACCCCCCACATGCTGCGGAGCAACTGGGCCCGTGAGCCACAATTACTGAGCCTGCGCGTCAGGAGCCTGTGCTCCGCGACAGTGAGAGGCCCGCGCACCGCGACGAAGAGTGGCCCCCGCTCGCCGCAACTAGAGAAAGCCCTCGCACAGAAACGAAGACCCAACACAGCAAAAATAAATAAGTAATAAACTCCTACCCCCAACATCTTCTTTAAAAAAAAAAAAGCTCTATCACACTTGATGTCTCAACTATTCCTTTATAGAAATCTACCTGCTTTAGTTTTATTCTACTGTGGCTAATATGATTCCATGGCCCTTCTTAACTTTCTATCAGGGCATACATGGCAGGGGGAAGGATAATCCCAAAGCCATAAGGACTTGGGAAAATTTTAGTGAACTTGAAACATCAGCACCCAGTATATGCTTAGGGTAAAGTCTGGTAAAATGCAGGACAAGTACTCTTTTTTCTCTTGAAAATAGTTTGAGTGGCAACAAAACAACATACTTGCTGAAGTTCTGCTTTGCCTGTGCCAGGTATTGTCCATTCATACAGCAGCTTCATAACATCACCCAGGGCTTCCGGGTTGAATGCATGTGCCTACCTCATTGCTTTGGTATCAGTGGCATTCTAATCCCATGGGATAACTTTACCAGTGAAGTCATCAGAATGTTAGTCTGTGTTTGGTAGTTCTCTGAGGAAGAACTCTTTGTCATGGTACCTTCAACGTAAGCAGTCTGCATTTTTACATCAAGTTGCATTTCAGCAAGGCTTCTTTATGATTGTCCCTCACTCCACTGAGTGATTATTTTTTAAACTCAAGGCATCCTAAATAAATTTCACTTATGAGATTAGATAGATCAATGACTTCAAAATCATAACTTGTATCTGTCTGGTATCTATAAAAGATAGATATCTCTTTAGGAATGTCTATGTAATTAGATTTTATTGCCTGGAGAAAAAAGTCCTTTTATTCATGATTTGCTCAAAACTAAGCCTGCAGTTTTGCAAAAATTACATATATATATATATATATATATTCTTCACATGCTGGTAGAAATTCTTACTTTAGCAGTGGAGAGATTATGCCATGCGATGTAGTGAAGTCATTTAAATCAGGATTTTATTTATTTTGCAGATTTTTCTAAACCCAAATTCCTACTAGTTTTAATGTTATTTTCATCTCAGTAAATCATGTACAAGTGGACTTGAAAAAAAAAGTAGAATAGCCTGTACTGTTTCCCAAGGGGCATGCATTACTGTTGCCCCTTTTTAGATCATGAGTGTGAATTCCTTTCATGGCTCTTGGTCATAGCCAAGATAACCTGAGCTTGCTTTCCACTCCTAACAATAATTATGTCCTATATAATTATTATTATCCTTTCTCCTCAATAGAAAAGTGACTGGATCAACTCAAAAAGGACTGGCCTCTTTTTCCTCTGATGCAGATTTTCTTCTGTTGCAGACTGGATTTGAGGACCCTCCCCTCCAGGGACAGGCTGCAGCTTCAGGGAGTGGGAATGGAGCTGATTCTCAGCCAGCTCGCCATGTCTTCTCCTTTTCCTGGTTGAACTCCCTGAATGAATGATGTTCATTCCAACTGCTGCACCTCTGTCTGCCTGGCTGAGATTCACACAGGCAGCAGGGAACCTAGATAAAACTAATAGTATGCAGGTGATGAAAGGGACCTCTGAACGGGATTTCTACCAAAAATATCCTTTAATTCCAGATGACTTAGCTAACACATTGAGGGAAAACAATGCTTTGAGAAAACAGTTGCAGAAAGCATTGGGAAAAAAGGAACTTGATCTTACGCAAATCTTTTATTGTGTGGGAAACATTATGAAGGGTTTGTATGTGTGATATGTGTGTGTGTGTGTGTTTCAGTAACAAGTGGCAGGTGTTGAAAAATGTGGGCACTACTCTCTCATCTCTAATAGGCACTGTCTTTTGTTGTGAAATCATAGTAGCTCTTATTCTCTTTCCTCTTTAACAGTGCAGGTGGTCAGTGAAATTCAGTGTTAATTCAGAAGTGACTGATTTATCAATATATGGACAAAAGGTGAATCATTGACCAAAGATATGAGATGCTTCACAAAGCTTTCCTCTTTTCCACAATAGATGTCGCTGAATGGATATCCAGAAATGTTCTTTGACTCTGGTGATACTTTCATAGTCCAGAAGGCTAAAGGCCAAGGACACTTCTTGTGACACTTTTCTAATCTTAGTTTTAGATATGCAGATATCAGGCACTTTAACTAAAAAAGACTTTTCAACAGGAACTGTCATTTTCTTATGTATCCACTGAGGCACCAATCTGCTGAACCGTAGAATAACTGCATGTATTTAAATATATATATACACACACACGATACACATTATACATGTACATATATATATATATGTATTTAAATTATGCTTTATTTGTTCCACCATAATTTTGCCTCCTTCGAAACATAAGTTTAACTTTACTCTGTATGGACTCTTAAATAAATGCTGTTTTTAACAACTTAGCCTTACAATGATTTATTATGTTTCATATCATCTTATTAATCCACTAATCAAGTGAATTTGAAGGGTCTCAAGGGAAGAAGCATCCTCATCCATCCAAATTAATTTTGAAGTATTAAACACTCGACTGAGTTTTTAAAGTTATAACTAAACTACCAAAGGCGAGTGCATTGTAAAACGAATTAGGTGTGCTGTTTGATTTTAGAAGTGCATAGAGATAGTTCGTATTCCTAAGAATTAAAAGTGATTAGGGTTGGCATAGACATACATGAGGTATTTGTGAAGTTATTAAAGTCAAAATGTGCTTTATAAAAAAAATGTTCCCAAGGGCCATTTTACAGCAACTACATTTAGTTCTTTTAAGTGGAGGGGCTATTAAGTTTCTCCTACTAGAAGACACCAGTGGAAAATAGCTTAGAAAAAAAGATAATTAATGGTACCAAAGTAATCGTTTGATAAAGTAAGCCTTTCTCATGGGAAAACAATGCAGCATTTTGGCCCCTAATTGGAGGAAAGCCCCACCACAGCCCTTGTCCTCTTTTCTTTTCCTCCTTCCCCACTGCCCCCAATTATTTCACATCTTACAGGTAATCAGGGTTAGATGTTATTTCCATTGTGAATCAATCTTCCATCTATAGAATTACCAAGCCTTAGAACAGGAAACAACTTTCCAAATTATTTAACTTAACCTCCGAGGAGTAATCTGAGGTGCAGAGACGAGTCCAAGGTGGTTGCAGTGTAAGCCACTGACATAGGTTCATGTTTTTAGTAGAAAATAAAATGCAAGGAGTTTTGTTTTCTCTTGTGCTGAAGTCAATTTGGAGGAAGTAAGGAGCTCAGGGTATATTCCCCTGTGAGCACTGAAGAGGAAAAATAAAGTCATGATTACCTTTGCAGCTTTTATTAGAAATATAAATATTCAACATTCTCTTACACAACCAAATTGACCAAGGATTGGAAAGCTGTTTTATTACTGAAACGTTTACAAGGAAAAGTTGGTTCAAAGAGCTTACAGATTTTGTCTCACCCACCCAAGAGAATGACATTCTTTTTGGCTCAAACCACAACAAAATCAATTGGGTGACTTCTGTCTGCTTCTTCAAAACATTTCCTCCTGGGTCTATACTCTCTTTAAAACACTGTTAAAGACACCTGGAAATAGAAACTATAAGTACACGGTACAAATTACAGGATGTTGCTGTTACTGCACGTGAATACACTTTGTGCATGCTAAGGAGTATGGGCGCTCTTGCTGTACATCCTCTACGTCTCAAGCTATATAAAAATAAACAAATGGTATCAGGGCAACGCTGTGGTACAGAATACTGCATTATCTTTTATTTTTACTTTTTGTGTTAAATGCAGAATCTTTCTGGCCAAACGCACCGTTTCATTTCCCAATAATCTCCATCAGTTTCCTGTTGCTGTGAGCTTGCTGCGCTAACTGCTCAGCCCTGGCCATTTCCAAGACTTCTCGGAGGAGGTGGAAGGTGAGATCCAGGGAGATGGGAGGTTCCTCGGCTCGCCTCTCCCTCTCCGGTGCCTCCTGGCGGCCGCCGAGGGCGTTTTCGGCGCCGCGTTCCACCGGACTCGCAGGGCTGTCGAGCGGGCGCCGGGGCAGCAGCAGCTGTTGCAGCAACGCGCGGAAAAAGTTGGCGGCCACCTCGTCCGGCGAAAGGCGGCTGCCGCTGCTGCCGGCAGGAGGCGAGGAGGCGGCCGAGAGCGGAGCAGCGGGGCTCTTATTGAGGCTACCCAGGCGGAGGAAGTACTCCTCCCCCATGCGGAGCAGGCCGGGCCGAGCCTGCGGCTGCTGAGGCTGCGGCGAAGGCTGGAAGAAATCCAGGGGCTGGGGGTGCTGCGAGGCCTGCCGGGCCCCCGGGACGGGCCCCCGGCTAAGGAGGGCCCTGCATGGCGGGCAGGGCAGGAGAGCCACCAGCAGGACGCCCGCGGACACGAGCAGCGGCAGCCGCATGTTAGGGGCGCTAGGTGCGGCACCCAGGTGGGCAGAGGGCGGAACGAGAGAGAGAAAGAGAGAAAGCAAGAGTTGATCAGAGTTGCGCTCAACTGAGAGGTGCACTCGGGGGATGGGGGGCTTCCTACAGGACGACACCCACAGACCTGGCTCGGGGGCTCGGGCGGGCGCTGTCCGCGGTGCTGAAGCGCGCAAACTCGGACTTCCAGAGTTGGAGGCAGGCTGAGACGGGGAGCAGGAAAAGGGACGCCTGCGGGGCTCGGCGCCAAAGCTCAGCCCCTCGTCAGGCCGGACTGACTCTTCTTACGAGACTCACGAAGGGACGGTCCCTGAGTGCCCTTTGTAACGGTCCCCCAAACCAATCCCCCGAGCTCTAGAGAAGACCTACAAATGTAAGATCTCACCTGTTTTACACATCTCCCCCCACCCCCACCCCCCCCTTTCCGGATGTTTCAGCGTTTTCCTCCGAACTGAGAACTGCCGCCTCCTCCTCGTCGTTTTCCATCCCTGCCCTTGCACCCTTCTCTCGGCGGCTGGGATGGATGGGGGGCTCATTTACGCAGCCAGCGAGGGATAACTCCCAGTTCGGGTAACGATGAGCAGCCGTCTAAGTTCGCTTTAGCCACATCCCAGCTACTATCGGAATCCTGAGGCACAGTCGGTAAACACACACACGCGCGCACACACACACACACACAAGCATGCCTAGGGACAGCTGGCTGCGCGGCGCATACCGTGGCAGCTCAGGCAGTGCAAAGTTGGAGGCGCGTTTCCGTCTAGGCGCTCCCTACCTTCTGAGGCGCTTCTGCAGGTGAGCGGAGCGCTGCGCAGCTCTGCAGAGGAACGGCTCCGGGGCTTTCTCAGGGGTTTTCTTCCCTTCTCCTTTCTTTCCCCACTCTCTTCTTCTTTCCCTCTTCTCTTTCTCTTCAGTCTCTCAACGGACTTGGGCTCCGAGTTTCTCCACACCAGAGCCCGGAGTGGGATTTTATAGCGTCGACCCTCTTCAGAAACCACGCAGCATTTGCCTAATAAGCTGACGCTCTCTTGACAGCTCGATTGCGTGCTGCCTCTGCTCCTGCATAAATCACAGGGCCCTGCCGGGGAACGAGGGGCAGAATTTTTGCTCTCTCAACACTGAATCTCACATCCAATTATATCAACAGATATTTATCGCCTCCTTGGTGACGTCAATGAGCCCTAAAATGGAAGGGCTTCTTATGACTTGTCCATTGACAAAAATTCTTGAATGAGATTTCCCAAGTGTGAAAACATACTGACCTCTTACTAGGAAAGGCCAAACTGAAGGTCAGGAAAGAGACAGTGACTGAGAGGGGAGGGGAAGGGAAAGAGTGAAGGAAGGGAGGTCTATCAACACACGGTCTTGTGGGAAAAGCAGTAACCAGTTATGGGGGGGCTCTGGATCCTCCCCTCCCCTCTCCCACCTAACTTCTCTGACCAGCTGTGTCAGGCAACACCTCAGTATTGGAAAATATCCCTTTGCTAAAGTGTCCCATTACCTTTCTGCCCGGATAAGAATGAAGAACAAGGAGATGGGAGTGCAGAGACGTCCAGCTTTTAAGCCTCTAACTGCTTTTTCCTCCCAAGAACAGATGAAGGAATTACGAGTCTGCAGAGGCAAGACCAATAAGTCTCTTGAAACACTGCCCAAGTTTTTAAAATGATGCAAGAGCTACTCCCATGATGAAGAGGCACAAAACAGGTTCAGTCAGGAAAGATTTTAAGTTCTCCCAGAAACTCACTGTTCCTCCTTTGTCTCTTCTCTCAGAATCTGAAATTAATTTTGGACTTTTCTGTCTCCAAATTAGAGAAAGTACCAGTGAGAGGTGAGTGAGTTAAACGATCTTTATCTAGTTTACTCAAAGCAAGCCCAATGACAGAAGCATTCCTTCTAACTTCCTATTCTATAATGGGAAAGGCTTAAACTGCTTGATTACAGGGCTGAATTTGTCAGTTACATGTTTTCACTGATGAATATTGAGCCTGTAAAAGATAACCTAATTCATTTTAGTTCCAAATACTATTAATATCCATGATACTATCCACATCAGGAGCACCCAGGTTGTTGTTGTTTTAATTATTTCTTTTTCCAAATTCAAATGTGCTGCATGGGAGACCAGTAAATAAATAAATGCTCTCTGGCAGTACCACAGAATGGAATGCCTATAAAACCGCACTCAAATTTCAAAATAAATCGATACTATCATATAGGTGGGAGGCAGTTACCTCTAATTCAAAATTCAAAATTCAATTCCAAACTCTGGTGTCTATGATTCAATTCAGCTTCTATATAACCATCAGAGCTGTTTATCAGAAATTTCCTTTTCCTCATTCTGGGTTACCTCTGCTACTTCCTTTGTAGCTACTTCCTTTGTAGCTACTTCCTTTATAGCTACTTCCTTTGTAGCTAGCATGACAAAAGATGCAATGCTTATTTCAACTCCTATTTTTGGGTCTATAATAATCCACAACTGCTCTTAGAAACAAAAGGAAGGTAGAAAGAGAAATTCTGGCAGTTTCCAGAGAAGTCAGCCCATAGTTGGATCATTGCACTATGGAATGTAGTTTTGACATAAGAGAACAGAGAAAGAAATGTGTCTTCTGGGGAAGATGTGAGTTGTTAATAGAAGATCATAATTATGAAATTGGTTGAGATTTTAGAGGAAAACTGTGTTTTATGTCAGTAAGAAAAGAACCCTCTTCTGTCCCCATTGGCATATCTCAGCTTGGATACCAACCTGGAGGTGAAAGTAGATTTGAAAGGGGAAGTTGAGGTTAACGGATACAGAAGAACTAGGAAAGGGATAAGACCATGGGTTTTAGCTGGGGAGACGTGGGAGGTTCCTCCAGAGAGGATACAACTTATTCTGGGCTTTGACTAACCCCAAACCTTTTCAGATCTCTCTCCTCTTGGGCCATATGGAGGATGTTGTTTTAGTATGGCTCCCTCATCACTGCTGAATCCTTGCTGTGAGATTTTCCTAGAGTAGGCAGTTGGTTGGGCAAAGTGGCTCTGACTAGGGGTGAAGAACAAAAGGCCTAGATCTCAGCGGAGGAGGAACTGTGCAGAGTAGCCCCTACTCGCCACAATTTAGCCAAAAGTTAGATCTCATCAAATCACTTAGCATTCACATTAGAAATGACTGGAAGAGATCATTTCGTTTTAATGAGAACCAGAGAGGTTAAGTGACTTACCTGAAGTCTCTCAGCTAGTTAGTGATAAAAGTCAGAATTAGAATCCAGTTCTTTTGACTACCAGCTGTAGTATTTCCATACTATAACAATACCCTTTGAACCACCTTTTCCAGCAGAGACACAGAAACAAATTGAAGTGAGAGGATGAATTTAGGTAAAGCAACATGTTCACACACCCATCCTGAGTTACCTTTTCTCTGACTTTTGTATATTGATAAATCTCCTAAGGTATAAGATCACAGAGATTCCCTGTGCATGCTGATGCCCTAGCACCTGATCTCTGTGCACACACTCCAATTTACCTGTCAGCTGAATCTCGTCATTATAACATGAGATTTTTAAAGGCATTGCCAACTTAAGTTGCATTAATTTGATTTTCCACCTTAGTTTACTTTGGAAAAAAGAGATCTTTTGATAAAGTATATATGTGGTTCTCAAAATAATGATACAAATGTGTGATTGAAGAAATAACATATTGCAACAGGACTTATATGTACAGCAAACTAAATACCCAAGTCTGTAAAAATTACCACTGACAGGTTCAATCTTACATGTAGGAATAACTTCTTGAAAGGATTCACTGGAGAACCAATTTAAATGCTTTTAGAACCTAAAAACACAATCCAAGAAATACGGGCACAAAACAAGGATTACTTCATGCTTTCAACCGCATTTTTCAATAAGAACATAATACAGGGTATAGTTAAATTTAAAAAGATGGCACAGCAGTCCAATGAATAAAGAAATATTAGAAATAATAGGTACCTGCTGGGCATATTCCTGCCATCTGCATCTCCCTGACTTTTGAGGAGATCCCAGCATATGCTTCTACTAGCAAAGTTCATGGCAAATGAAGATGTAAGCCAGGTTTGCTAACTGAAACATTTGTTGAAATGAATCTACCATCTCCAATGACAGCCTTTAACAGTGCCGAGGGTGGATAGGTGGTTTGGCAATTGTTTGTAACTTCCATAGGTAGGGCTAGGGAGAGGACCTCAAACAGCACAAATATCTAACTGCTTCACTAGTAACAGTAACTTTTATTAATCTCTTCTGATTATCAAAGCCATTCATTCTCCTTACAGAAAACTTAGAAAAATTGGAAAAGTATAAAGAAGAATACAAAATTCCTCACATTCCAGAATATAATCTCCATTAATATTTTGTTGTTTCCCTTGAGAATTTTTCCTGAGCTCATGTATTTTATGTAATTGGGATCAGACTGTGTTCCTAATTGTGAATTTCTGCCTAACAACAACTCCTCTGCCTCCCCCTCCTCTTAACTTAAAAGTAATTGCTCGGAGGAATCTTTCCCAGATTCCTAGATTAGGTTTGGGACCTATGCTCTATGTTCTCCTAACATCATGAATGTCCTCCATCATAAAGCTCACATTTTTACATCCTTACTGGTACAATATGTATCTTCCTTGCTGGGCTGTCAACTGTGTGGCAGAGACTTGATTTTCTTTATAAACTGCCATTTTTGTTACTCCAGCCCCTAGCACAGTGCTAAAACATGGTAGATACCCAATAAACCTTTTGAAAGGATGAACTGTAGACAATGAATGGAGTATTTTTAAAAATCTACAAACCTACCATATAGAAATTACTAGATAACATTTTATAACTAAAAATTTATAATCTATTTTCCACTTAAAATAATATCTCAAACATTTTCCTATATCTAAATGACATCTGTTTTATTGACTGCATGGCATTCCGTCAAAATGTACCACTTTCTGTTCATTCTTCATTGTTGATCACTATCCTAATGATCTGCTTTTTAATTCTTCTTCTACATCTTACCCTTGCACCTTTAAGTAATACATTCAAAGAATCATTTCCTGATCCTTCCTATATAAACAATATCTCTTAACTCTCTGGATTGTAAAATGAGAATGTTAGTATCCTTTCAGCTTTTCACACACCCTCCTGCACCTTGATATCCCAGGATCTCTCAACTGTACTTTTAAATTGTCAGTGTTAATACTTACATAGCTATAGTTAAAGCACTCTGTGTGTTGACTATAGATTTATCTAAAAGTTAAAAATCAATATAGTTTGTAATTATTGACTATGTAAAAAGTGTTCACTGCAGAACAAAGTCATAGACTCTGATATATTTCCTTTCTTGTTTTTGTTTTTCTACAATTACCAATTACTTTTATATTCCCAGTTTGGTTTTTCCCAGAATTACTGTGTTACTTTTCTTCCCAATTTCTTTCAGATTTCAATTTTGACAGCAATCTATCAAGCCCTTCCCCTGTTTTTTTTTTTTGTGGTACACAGGCCTCTCTCACTGCTGTGGCCTCTCCCGTTGCAGAGCACAGGCTCCGGACACACAGGCTCAGTGGCCATGGCTCATGGGTCCAGCCACTCCGTGGCATGTGGGATCCTCTCGGACCGGGGCACGAACCCGTGTCCCCTGCATCGGCAGGCGGACTCTCAACCACTGTGCCACCAGGGAAGCCCCCCTTCCCCTATTTTTAAGACCCCTCTACTTGAGTACTCTAACCTGCTGCTTTCAGACTGGTCTGGTGCACAGCTCGCTTCCTGGGACTTCTCTTTTCTGTTTATTGATTGAATTCACTATCCAGAGTCATATGATTTATTCCTTCTTGATTTCTGCATTAATTTTGCTAGAGCACAACCACAGATAACTTTCTAAGAAAAGATGTATGGCAGGTAAATTTTCTGAGTTCTTGAATTGCTTTTTTTTTTTTTTTTTTGCACAAAAATGTTTATAGCTGCTTTATTCATCATGGCCTCGAATTGGAAACACTTCCAATTGGTGGTATCATACAATGGAATATTCCTCAGCAATAAAAAATAGTGCGAGTTCTTGAATTTCTGAAAAGGTTTTTATTTAACCAAGATAATT